CGGGTCACAGACACTGATGCGGCTTGAAACAGAACCCTGCTTGGCTTGTTAGCACGTAGCTTCACTATTTATTTCTGAGTATGACCGAAGTTTGTCAGATGATGTTTTGATGATGTTTTGCAGTTTGAAGAACTGGTCCCTAAAGGATGTGAGTCCCATGTAGCTCTCAGGGATCAGCAAGTGAGACTGGATAGAGTACAAAGGAGCTTGATTCATTCAACTTTAAATCTTATATCTAATCTCCATCTTTTGCCCTTTTGCTTGCAGGATCACTTTTAAGTCAAGATAAGTCAACAAATCTTGATGGAAGCAGACGTAGAATATACAATGTTTTATTTTATTTTGTGTGATGTCGTGTAGAATATATAAATATACTAATATGCTAATGTTTTGTGTGAATCATGAGGCTTTGCTTGTTTTTGTATTCTTTTCTCATGTAGCTGTTATGAGGTTATCTTGTGCTATTCCTTTTTTTATACCTTTGTGATCTTGCATCTCTTAAGAATTCCTTGTTTTCAGAGGATGGTCAGCCTAAACAGACTTTGTTTTATGAGAACTGGCGCCCTGTAATTCTGTGTGGAAATAGCTGTAAATGTCTGGCTTCACGGGGGGCACTGTAAGAGAAATATCACACATTTGTGCCAAAGTCCCAGTTCCTTAATGCCCTGAGGTAACTCTCAGGCCATTTCAGGCCTCTTTCCTCCACTCCTGACCCCAAAGAGAGGTCCTCATGAAAAATGAGTACCACTGAGAGAAAAGCAGTAAACCTCCAACCCGTATTTCCAAGAGAAGACTCCCCATGGGAACACGGAGCTCTTCCCCATGTGGAAATTCTAAAGGATGTTTCCCCCCCCTTTACCATGTATTGAATGGACATAGGGTTGTTTTGCATTTTTGTGTAAGTGTGCATAATGTTTTCTTCTCAGTAGGATTCGTGTTGCACACTCTACTTGCTGTCCTTGAGGAAAACTAGCAAAAAGATGTGAAAGACAGATTTGATCAAAGGTTGCAAGAGGTTATGGCCAATGTAGAAGAAGATATTTAATTTGGTAAATGGCTGACTGGAGGTTCTTGTGAGCAGTCATCTGTCATCTACCTGGCTTATTTTGATAAATTCATGTGGACTATTCAACTATTTGAATTTTTAAAATCTGGCATTTAAGACGACAAACAAAAATTAAATGATAATTTTCNACGATGACCTCAGAGATGTGACAGTTTGAAGATGGTTGAATGTGCTGCTTTGTTTCCATGAATCCATTCAAACACACTTACACTTCCTCAGACCTGGTGTCAACCATCGGACTCCAGCAGGCGTCACCCTGAAAGGAGGAGGACGGTCAGAGCAGCAGAGACTCTTTCAGCAGCACACATGGACGTTACATCGCTGTCATGTTATTTGAGACATAACTAATAAAGCACTTTAAATTACCTACTGTGGCAACTTTTTCTCTTTTAAGGAGCCCAACAAAACCGGATGCAACAACCCACATCCACCACACTGACCTTGTATGATATTTTGAATTGCCCCAAGGGGATAAATAAAGTTATTTGAATTGTATTGATATAGATAGTTGGAGTCTGCGCAGTAGTGATCGTTCATTTCCTGGTTGTGCTAAGAGGGAAGGTTTTTAAAAAAGCAAAAAGTAAACACAACAACAAGCAGGTGAGTCACATTTTCAAAATAGAAGTGACATGATTGGCACTCACAATCAGAACCGGCTTGAACGGCCAAGTCAGCACAGGCTTTGAGTTTTTTTTTTAATTCTTTTTTTTTTTTTTTTAAACGAGTGGAAAGAAATGTATAAAACAAACACATATTTAGGTGTTTATGGTACTGCACTTTGTTTACATCTTCTGTTACAATGCATACCTTCACACTGTTATCCACATCTGTTGTCTGAAGGTCTGAACTGAGGTTTTTTTTTNTGTATTGACTTCAACTATTTATTCACGTATTTACATGTTTTAGACTATTTAATGTAGTTTAATTCTTAAATTCTACCATTTCTTTTTCTGTTTGTTTTTGTTTGTGTTTCCTTTGAGTCTATCTCCATCTATCCCTATTTAAATAATTGATATTTTATTTATTGTATTCTAGTTATTTTTGTGTCTTGCTTTATTTCATTTTATCTCATCTGGTGTTTCCTTGTCACGTGTTTGATCGGACAATGTGAGGATTGTTTGTACTTTTTTACTGGATTTTTTTTCGATTATCTGTAAAGGACTTTGTGTTGCATTTTATAGTGTTTTAATATTTAGTGTTTTATGAGTGAAGTCTGATTGATTGATTGAGTATATTGTCAAGTCCTTAAAGAAAAAAGTATAAATGTTCAAATTCAGAAACACAAGAAACAATTTGCTGGTTGTTCAGTTTATTATTGTTTATAAGATGGAAAGTAATAAAGTTCATCCAGATTCTCAAAGGAAAAACACAAGCACAACACACTTTTGTATTGAACAGAAAACTGAGGAATTCATTCCACTGGTCAGTTATATATAGTTCTGTACAGTTTAATCTTTGGCACATTTTCATACAATTGAAGAAACTTTTCTTTCTTTACAGACAAAAGCTTCCATGAGATGAAAAAGACATTTTCTCATCTCATCTCACTGAAAGCTGACAGGATAGTTTGCTGTAAAATAATGTCATACTTTAATGTTTTGTTAAAACCTTGAATCTAAAACATGTTTCTGAGTGACAGAGACATGTAGAGACTGAACCATCTGTTCAACAGGGAAACTGTTTCTCTACCAGGAGGAGACTCTGGATACTGAACTCAACACAGACACACTGAGGAACCAAACCAGAACGTAAGTCCAGGATACAGAGGTTCAGTGAATGTGGTGTTGAAGGTGTGGAGGTGGATCAGAGAGTCAGAGGAGACTCTGTAGAAGGACAGAGTTCCAGCAGGACAGTCCACATAAACTGATACTCTGTTGGAGACTAAAGACCTGATGAATGTTTTTCTGTTGTTGTGTCTGACAGAGAAACCACCATAAGAGCAGGTCAGAACCCAGGACTGATCATTTGGGCCAAACAAACAGTCATTAGTGTATCTTCTCCTTCTGATTCCTCTGTAACTCACTGATAT